CTGAGTCTGATCGGCCATGAGCACAGCCATCCTCCGCTCGGCAAGCCCAGTCTCCGCTGACCCTGAAGTGCTGTACATATCTTTACATACTAGTACATGGACAGAAGCTTGGTATGTATCCATGGCGAAAGAGAGGACCAGTGTCCAATCCATCCGCAGCGAATGCCAACGGCATTTCAGAGTGATTTCAGGCTGACGATTTTTGTCATTAGATATGGATAGAGACATGCATCATACGTACAGCAGCGGCTGGAAGGCACACGGCAGGATCACCGGCGTGAAGGAGGGCGAGGAGGGAACAAACGCAGGATCGAAGGGAGGAGGGGAAGGAGAAGAAAAGACGTACCGGGACAGCGTTGGTGTTGAGAGAGTGCTGTGGGTCGTTTGAGGATGGCCCGGAGAGGGAGCGGAGCCGGGTGCGAGTGAGCGGAGGGGGGTTCGATTGGGTCGAGGAGCAGGGATCGACAGATGATTCGGGGAGGGCTTCGTGAGGACCGAGTGCCCAGAAGGCGTGTAGACCTCCGCTCTGAGATTTACTCCGGTGGGGTTTACGCTTCTTAGGGCCGGTCGACGAGCGCATCGCGTCCATCGAAATCGGCAGACAGGATGACATCATTTTGGCTTCCAGCTCCGCCTCCGGATCGGGGTTCCGCAGTTTCTTGGACTCAATCTCATCATCATGCCCCACCAGAGATGAGGAGAGCCCCGGCTCGGGGTGCTGTTGAGTTTTGGTCGAGGCCGGCTCGGCAAGGCTCGCGATGTCGACGCTCGAAAGTTGGGCGGATGAGGAGGGAGAAGACTCCCGTTCAGCTCGCACATGACGATCGAGGGTGGGAATAATCTGGTGGTTTTGGATGGACGAGTGAGATAGCGAGAGGGATTTGGGTTCTAGGGAGGCGTTTGAGGAGTGAAGGTTTTCTTGAGTCGAGTCGCTGAGGCCGGGGCGAAGGGGAGGAAAATTGAAGGAGGATGTGGAGGTATAATAATAATTGTATAGGGGAGGCGAGCAGATGAAATCACTGGATTGCTGGGCTCGGTCACGGGCCGATCGAACCAAGCTGGCCAAGTCGAGAACGCTGGCGGTTCCACCCTGGCGAAGGACACTCAAGCGTTGAGGTGGTGGATGGGGATGGACGGACAAGTCGGAGGACTTGGAGGCTGGTGAGGCGGTGTTTTGAGTTTGAGAAGGGGTCTGAGTGAGAGGATGACGCGGAGGATCTGGAGAAGCTAGAGAAGAGGGCATGGAGGTAAGTCCGGATGGATGATCACTGCAACTGGGCCTGGAAGGATCTGGGTGTGGATGAGAGGCCGGAGCTGATGGAGGGATGGATAGGATATCGGTTGGCAGGCCGGAGTTGGCGGTGTGGAAGTGGGTGGAGATGATTTCCAAGGACTGAAGAGAGGACGAGGTGGGGTCTGACTCTGGGGATAGGGCTGACAGTGGTGGGCTGGCGGCGGAGTCTGATTCCCAGGGGGACGGCGTGGGATTAGACTGCTGGTGAGATTCCATGATTGGAATCCCAAGGACGGGTAAGCCTTGGAGGCAGTCGGAGCTCGGGTGGGTCACTCTGCCAATCAACACATCCAAGCCGGATTGTTTGATTGTTTGATTGTATTTGAGTTGGCGAAGTTTGAGTCAAGCTGAACCGATGTTGTCCTGTTTGATGGCTCACACCAAACTCGTGATCGAATCGGAAGCGATGGGGAGGGGGGGATTATTATGAGGAGGATAACCGACCAAAGAAAACTAGCAATTCGGAGAAGCCAATCGGAAGTTGACAGGGTTTTTGTTTTTGTTTTTGAACAGAGAGCGACTGGTGGCAAGAGTCTATGTAGAGACTGGTTGGAGGTCCTGATGGTGAAAAAAGAAGCCCGGGTGATTTATTGATTTATGTTGTCGAGGCGTATTCTAGGTCGAAGGCTATCCCATCTACAAATCTTGCAGCATCGAGCTAGGATCCGCCAAAAATACACACACACACATACACAGGAGGCGGAGGGATGTGGGTGGGAGAGTCTGGGAGATCGAAGGTGGAACGGAGGACGGGGCGGGTGAAAGGCGAGTCGAGAAGATGGGATTGTTGCAGTGATGGGCGAAGAGCTTGGGGGGGGGCAGCCGCGGTCAGCAACGCGTGGTGGGAGGGAGCTCGAGGAGGTTGTTGGAAGTGAGGATGATAAACTTCATAGGAGAAAGAGTTCAAGGAAGGCTTTGGGTTGTACAAGTTTTTGTACAGTGATCGATGACGGAGAAGGCTTCGGTTACAATGTATTGGAAAATGAGACACGGTTGTCTTGGTCAGTTCTGCGCTAAAGGATGGCTGGCTCCATCATTAAGGCTTGAGCAGCAGAGGAAGAAGCATGCACTTCGCAGGCCTCACTTCAAATATCATCCTTCCCAGCCAGCACAAGTGGTTCAGACTGGAATCCCAGCTCAGAGAGAGAGTATGGGTGGAGCGTACTGATAGCCATACGCTGATAACGGGCGGAATCAGGATAAAAGCCAGGAGTGGCGGCTCAAGAAAAGTATCCCGTCGCTTTCAACTTCCACCCGGAGAATCTGGTTGAAACATCATCACATCATGATGAGAAAGAGACTCATCCAACTCTTATAGGGGCACCACCACATCAAGAATATTTTGAGAAGGAACCTTGCAGGAGAGCATGACGGCCAGAGCAGTCAACATGAACCCTTCAACAACAGCGCTCGCCACACCCCCGGCTGACCGAGATGGACATCGTTTTGGCAAGACAAGATCAACATCCGACTGCTAATTATTTCCTACTTCTAATTTTTTCCATCATCTTTTTCAAGGGAAAATTAGAAAACCATGTCTCATTACGAGTGCTCACCCTTTCGGCTTCAAATGAGAATGGAAAATCAAAAGACTGATTTTGATTAAGGCCACACTGGGAAAGTTATTGAGACCACACTTGAGACCCAGCAGGAAGGTTATAGATAGATAGGCAATATATACAGACAACTTAATTATGAGGGGGGGTAGCCTAGGTTTCTTCAACACTTGTTGCCTCCTCATGTGGGGAGCCAAGATGGACTTTTGCTTGAAGGGGTACATTGCAGATTGGTCCATTGTGTATGGATATTAGGCTGGAAGCTTTTTGAAAATGCAAGTTAGTTTTGTTGAAGAAAAGGAGCCATCTGAGAACCAAAAAAACCAACCCCACATAGTTTTCATATTTCTTGAAAGCAATGGGTTATTGGACACTACTCTAGATGACTTTGCATATAATCAAGTGATAAGCATCCTGTGGAGTGAAATAGACTTTTGCTTGAAGATAACCACTTGGGAGGTAATCACTTTCACAAATCATTCCTTTCTGTATGGGTATAAAACAAGAAGCTCTTTGCAAACAAAGTTGGTTCTTGTTGACCTACTAAGAAAAGGAGCCAGCTGGGAATCAAAAATCACAAACCCACACAGTTTACATATTTCTTGAAGTTGACAGTATGGGTTAGTAGATCAACTTGCACACAATCTGGAGACTATGTAGAAACCTTGATAAAGGTTTCAGTTTTGATGACCTGGAGAGTGTCAGTTTTCACAGGGTAAACTTGTCCAAAAGGCCCTGAACCTCTGCAGGTGCTTTGGAACAAAAGGGAAGACATCCAGCTACTGGAGGTAACTATTGTCTAATCAGCCCTCCTGATGGGCCTTCCTCAGTGAGCTGGCACCTGGGAGAAGTTGATTCTAGGCTGACTGGTGCAAAAGCAAGCTTGTGAAGGCCAAAACCAGCCAATGAAATTTGTTTGAAGACAACTGCAGTCATCTCTGTTCAAGAGCTGATTTCAAGATCTGATTTCAGTCAGAACTTGACCATTGACCCCTCTTTCTCTCCACCGCAAAGTTAAGTTGATTGAAGGTTCAATGCTCTCTGATTTACTAGGAGAATTGGACTGTAGATATTATACAACTTCAAGACCTATCCACCTTGCTGTCCCTATATGCAATTTCTCTCACATGAGGTTGACAGTGTTCCACTGATTATGATTCCTTCACAAGTAGCAATCAAGTGCACACAAGTTTTGGAGTTTCAAAGTGATAGATATTAAAGCCCCTCTCAGTTTCAAGTGGACACTTCTGTTAGGGGTCAATCTTTGAAACAGCTTTTCGAGTACATGGATCTGTGTTGCCTGTCTAATCTTTTCCAAAGTTTGTTTGAAATAGGAAATTTATCCTTTTGGCTATTTGGGGTATATGTATACAGTTTTTTTAGTGTGAGCCTGTGAATTCATGCCAACAAGGTGAAAATCCCTGTTTCACTGGTCATCCTGCACCCTCTCCCTTGCTGAATAGCCATTGCTACATTGTTGTATTCCTAAGGGGAGTCTGCTCAACAGCTTTTAGGATGGCCAACTTGATAAAGCGTGCCCTGATAGTCATCCCTCATGTCTTGTTAATCTTAGCAACCCCACCCTCAAGATCTCCTTTGCTTGAAGAAGCTTTAGATACGTCAAGATACTTGACAGATAAGAATGATCAAAACAGACACACCTTACATCTATCTCAAGTATATTCAAACTTTGCACACTCTCAATCAGAGAAAGGATCAGGGATATCAGACCCAGAACTGGAAATATTGGATGGAAACAGTGAGTTAAGCCTCTTTTCCCCTGCCAGAAAGCTTGCTGGTTTTCTCATGAATAGCATATTTTAGGGAGGCTTGAAGGCCTCAAAAGGCCGTGGCTTGTGAGGCCCAGAGAAGAGGAGGGAAATAAGGTATCAGATCTTAAAAAGCAGAAATATAACAAACACTACGGTTTGTGTGGAAAGGATTATGATAATGTCCAACATTTTGGCTCATTTGGTCCAATTTCTAAATCACAAGGTAAATCTATAATATCCCAAAATAAATATAGCTTGGCCAGGATCCAACAAGGCATTTCATACCAATCAACATCAACAGAACTCTGTTACAATTATCTGATGTCATTTTTTTATTTTACTTTACAGAATATGAAAGAACCTCCGCACTCAATTTTGTCAAGTCGGACCATGCATGCAGACAAAGCAAACTAGAAGACCAAACTTTTATCAGCTGTAACAGTGGTTCTGAATCTTCACACAAATTAACATTTTATCCATCTAGCAGAAATTTTCCCTGTGGAATCCAGAACTCAGGTCAGAACACACTGAAAAATATCTCAGAATACTACCCAAACCAAAGCTCTTCCAATGAAGGACAGATTGTCAGAGGTGTCAATTTGAAAGAGATAGATCCAATAGTTTGGGCTTGGATACCAGCATTTTGGTCTCAGGCTGATAAAGCAATAATCAATGAGGTAAAAAGAGGTTTTAAATTGTCAATGCCAATCTTAACCATGTTGTGTTCAGATTCTGGGGGAAAACCTCCCTTGAAGGATACAAACCATTCATCTGTGAATGATGTTCAATTAATCTACAAAGTTGATCAATTTGTCTACTTATTGTGCATTTTACATCTCAGAGCTCTGAATATTATTGGAACCAGAAAGTCTAAATACTTGTATATGGAGAAGCAGAAAGAATTCATCAAATGGTTTGTTGACTTCATGTTTAAGTGTCAACATCAAACTTTGAAAGATAAATCAAATTCAAGGCTTCCTGTTCATCAATTGAGTGATATTGAGGAATCAATTTATGACAATATATTAAAGTTTATTCACAGTTCTGATGAACAGCCTTGCTACAAAGTATTTTCAGGAGAATTTCATAAGAAACCTATTGCAATTTCACAAAATCAGGTCTTCATGAGTAAGGCTGCGGCCAATGTGATTTGTTTTTATTACAAAAACACTAACTATGTGAAATGGGTACAGATTTTTGAGAATGAAAACAACTTTGTAATCAGACTTGCTAATAGTGGTTGCAAGTGGATAGAAGACATTTTCAACACCCCAAGAAGAATTTCCAAGGATGAGATCAAGGAAGCACCTATATCATGGAAAGATCCTGTTACACCAGAATATGTGAAAGGAATCCAAAAGAAGGTTATAAAGACATCCCATTTCAGATTTAAGAATAATGTTGAATTGATATTTGAAATGGATAAAGAAGAACTGGTCACATTCATTAATAACCAAAATTTTGATTTTCAGCAGAAAAATTTGGAAGGATGGGCATGGATATCCAAACTGAAAACAAGAGAAAACATGATAGCACCTGAGAGCTTCATACCACATATTCAACTCAAAGAAAATATGAAGCATTACATTTCAAATGCAATTAGAAATATCTCAGATGAACAACTGCAACTCAATTTCTGGCTACAATATGATATCAAATTCTCTCAAAAAATTCAGCAAATGTTTGATTTTATTTATGCAATCAATGGAAAATTTCTTGAATTTCTTGGATGCCAGAAGTCAGATGAATGGTATATGAGAGAACAAAACTTTGTTAAGCTTTATTTTGAATTCATATTTTCCAAATTCACATCAGGTGATCAACTGCCGCAAGAATCATCACATGAATCAAAGCCCTGTTTGCATCAAATTCAATATAGAAGATTCCAGAGCTTGATAATAGAGCTTTTTTCTATGGAAAGGCCACATCCCATATTTGAAGGAAGAAAATCAAATCAATCCAATTCAGCTCAGTCAGTTACAACAATGGAAGACATAATTTTTTCAAAGATTTCAGTCAATGTCCTTGGGTATTATTACAAGAATCAGAATAACCAAAAATGGGATATCCTGTTTGTGAATGATCAAGATCTTTTGAACTTACTTACCAGAATAAGCACCTCTTATTTTCTTGCAGGAAAATTTGCTAAATATAGAAAAAACTTTTTTCCAGTTTTCAGGGCTCTCAAAATCTTCCCATGGAGTATGAAATCTTTAAATTCTAGAGAGGGAATCCCAAATGAAGCTCTAAATTTCCTTCAATATAAGCCAAGAAAATCCCTCAGCTTGTCTTTAAGGAAGATAAATTCTGTTCATTCAGTACAATGAATCTGGAGAGGATCTCAATTGGCATTATGACAATCAAAAAATCTGTCAAACATGAACCCGTTTTTTCATTTGCTCAATTATTTTCTAGCTAAAATCAACACCACATGTAAATACATATAATCTGTATTCAGATTATATGAGGGTGTTTGAAGTTGTACATTTGCATGAATTCTAGGCCTAAATGAAATTTGGAAGGGCTTATTCGAGCATCTTTTAACACATGTAATTCCTTCAAAATCACATCTATGTTTCAGAATTTATCCAAATATGATTCAGTTTGTAACACCCTTTTTACTGGAAGTTAAGATAATACAAATCTACATATTTTTTGGAACTTATTTCATGCATGGGGTGACACTGTGCACACAGGTATATTCTCTTTGTTGCAAAAGTGGGAACTCTGGGGTGCTCCATGCACCCAAACAGCCTGCTTTCCCACAAGGGTTTCTCCCAAACAACCTTTCACAAAGATCTACTTGTTGTACCACTACCAGCTTGCCATGAAGGGTTCATTCCTTAGGTAATGTTATCTCACACATTTTTAGGGTGGATTTGATTCCATCTGGAATTCTAAAATCATACTCACACACTATTCCATATAATGAGCAATGGATGGGAACAAGTTACAAACTCACACTCTGGGATTACTGGATCATCAAAATAAAGAATGACCCTCAGTCACTGTTATAAATAGAGCCTCAAAGGTGAGCTTCATCTGTTTTTATGACTCATTTCATGTATCACCTATTTGATAATGCTTCTCTTGTTGATAAATTTGCTTTATTCTTCAATCACCTTGTCAAGTTTGGTGTGGTCAAAAAAATGGAAATTGATCTTGGGGTCCACAAAGTAACATTGAAATCAAAATTTGCACCACTTGTTTCATCGGACTTTGACCAATTGGGTCTTTCTGGTGCAGCACCCCTGCTTCTTGAGGGAGGTTCTTGTAAGGCTCCAGCACACTTTGGGATTTGCCAAGAAGAGGCTGAGAATTTGCAAAAGGGGCAGTAGAATTGGTCAAGTTTTTATGATTTGCTTCTCTGGAATGAGCTCAAGCACAATTTAACATTGGCAGAGAGGGGGGACTTGTGGCTGCCTATCTGTGACTAAAGGTGAGACAAGTGGGGCTGAGGCAGCCTTGGAAGGCATAGTGTTTGTCAAATTGTCATTAATTTGACTTTCAATTATTTTGTAATTACCAGCTATTTCGCTGCTTTTCCTCATTGAAGTATCTTGTGAAGTTGCGTGCATCCCTCACAATATCAGAAGAGAAGAATCTTTGACGTCCTGAACAGCCAAACTCACTTTGACCAATTTTCTGCTGGTGACACTTCCGTTAATGAGACGGGCATAATCTTGACCTGACCACGGCTCTGCCTTTGGACGGTACATCAAATGAGACAATCAATGAATTTGTACGAAACTGTCGATGAAGTTAATTTTAGTCATGCGTACTGAGGGTGGGACAGCATTTGCTAGCTTCCTACGGGAGAGCGTGGCAACTCATAGGCCGACGTGACCTTGAAAGCTAAGTGTAAACTTTCACGGCACAGCAACTTATCTTATAGCTGGCAAGATAAACTGTACTGAGGTAGCAAAGGGCTGCGGATACGCCTCCTGGTCTAATAATCGTCTATGACCGAGGAAAAAATGTGCACTGGCATAAAACGATCTGAACTCCGACGATCCCTCTCCCCCCGCCAAGTCCTCATGCGGATTGCATTCCTTCACAGTATTCGCCCATTTTCAACAATGGAAAGTCTCCTTTGCTTAATTCTGTTTACCATTCATCATGCTGCTTTAATCTCAGGAACCCCACCAGAGAGAATTCCTTCAGTCAAAGATGAAGGAATTGAAATATCGAGAAGCTTAAGCGGAAGTGACTCTTTACATGAGAGGAATCCAATGGACCACATCATGCATCTACCTGATGCATTCCCACATTTCCCTGATCCTCAATCAGAGGGAAATCGCCTTGGATATTTGATGGAGAAATCCCGTCCGGTAGAGGAAGTATTAAAGCCACACGGTCAGTTTACACAAATCATCTCTTGGTTCTTGCGCAACCAAAAGACTTCAGTCTTACTGAGTAGCCGACTTGGGTTATGGAAAATCTTATTATTTAGGGGAAGTCGGCTTGCACAGAAGCAGCAAAGACAGCGAAAGTTCTTCACTTGAGCGGCAATACACCAGAGATGAAGAAGATGAACAGATAAATCGACAACCAACTTCGAATAAAGGAATATGTGAAAATCGCACCGTGTGGGGGAGGAAAGATCCAGCTGCCTACCTCAATTCACCGCGTCCATCCCTCCAAACCCAACGTAGGTAACCTTCGGCCCTGCGACGGCTTTAAAAATACACCAGTCAGAAAGCACTTCCTGAAGCTTGATTATTGATTTGATATCCACTCTTTTGTTGCGTTTTGCAGGCAGCAATCAGCCAGGTACGCCTGTTTCTCTGAAGGTCAAGCCAAGTGTCGGAACGAAACGCCAAGGGGGAAGGTACGATGATAGTCTACAGCAAAGAATGAAACTTCGGTCCTATAAGGAGGATACAGGAATACTTAAGTCGAGTGGAAATCAAATAAATCCGACGCTTGGTTATATGGAGGGGTGGTCCTCAGAAAGTGCGGCCTCAAATCAATCTCAAGATACATGCATGTCGACTGACTCTATAGAGGATGAAATTTCCAAAGAGGAAGCCCCTACGAGAGGGCATCAGTTGAAGGACATCGACATAAAAGTTTGGCCTCGGATTTCCTCAATTTGGTCAACCATAGATCAGTCAGCAGCTGAAGAAATGATGCGGAGTGTCCGTCCATCCATCCCAATCCTACTGATGATATGCCATCCATCCAGTCAAAACTCCTCTATTCTTAGGAATCAGAACACGTCCCAATCATCCATGAATGATGTTGAAGTTATTCAAAAGATTAAGCAATTTGCCTGCTTACTTTGGACTTTGAACCTTAGAGCTCTTGACTTGATTGGGACTATAGAATCAAAAGCTACTTATCTTGAAGAACAGAATGAATTCATGAAATGGTTTTCTGATTTCATGTTCCATTCAAACCGCCAAATTTTGAAATTGTTGTCAAATCCCATGGTTCCTCTTCATTCTTTTGACACCAAAGAGGGATCTCTTTATCAAGATACATTGAAAGCTATACACAGCAAACAATGTCAACCTTCCCACAAAGTATTTTTGGATGGGATCAAAGAAATCCCTGTTCTTATTTCAGATGACCAGATATCACTGACTCAGGCTGCAGTAGGTCTGATTGTTTATTATTACAAAAATAAGAACTCTGAGAAATGGGACCATTTTTTTGGAGAAGAGAAAAACTTTGTCATCCAGATTTCCAACTTTGAATCCAATTGGATTGAGAAACTTTTCCAAAGATCAGAACTGATGGTTGAAAACCATTCCAAAAACAAAATTATTCCATGGGAATTCCCTTGTTCCCCAGACTTCCTTGAATACTTCCCAAGGAATCATAACATGATACAATTTGAATTTCCAGAACTTGTTGAAGATATTTTACCACCAAAACAAGATGAAAAGATAAATACTTTAGTTAGCAAAAACTTCCAGTTGGATCATCAAGAGGATTCCTTTTGGGTTTGGTTAGTAAGACATGCATTGAAAGAAGGAACACAAGCTCCTGAAAGATTCAAGCCAACGTTTTGGCTGAAGAGAAATCTCAAGAATTATCTTGAGGTAGAAATTCAAAAATTAGATCAAGACAAGAAAAAACAGTTTGAGTTGAATTATGAAACTCAGTTCTTGGGAAAAATATACAAACTCTTTGATTATCTATATGTAACAAATGGAAGGTTTATAAGCTTTTTGGGTTGTAGTTATGAAGTTAAGGATCATCAGAAAGAACAAAGATCAATCAAGAAATATCTTGAATCAATTCTTTTAAAACCACAAAGAATCAATTCCAATTTGGAATCCCATGATGAAAAAGAAAACATGATTGGACAGTTGTTTAAGGAACTGTTTCTTCTTCAAGGCAATGAACCATTTTACACAGTTCAGCATTACAAGAGGAATGTAGAGCAAGTTTCAGTTGTCACAATGGAAGATATAATTTTGATGAAGATTGTTTTGAACATCATTGGGCATTATTATAAGGATACAAATCATGAAAAGTGGATTGGCTTATTTTCAGATGACAATTGCCTTTTCACTCTTTTCATGAAATTAAGCTGTGATAATTTCAACTTCAGGTCCAATATTTCCCAGATGAGGATATTCAAGTTTTTCAGAGGATTGAGACTATTTCCATGGGAAAAGTCTGGTTCAACTGAGTCTTTATCAGCAGAAGTCAGGAAAAAATTTCTTTGGAGAGACAGGAGTTATGTAAAAAAGTGGATTAGAAAGTACAATTCTGATGTTCCAAAAGGTTCTGTGGAGCATCTTTCAATTCAAAAGTAGTTATCATTAATCAGAGAATTCAAACGAGCAGACTGCCCCATTACTTCTCAAGAAACATGATTTACAGTTCCTTTTCATGAGAAAGAAATTGCAAATCATAATCATTCACACTCCAATCAATTATTTATGTATCAGAAGAAACCATCAATATCTGGTGCATACTTTCAAAAATTCTACTAGCTTTTTTTGAATCAGAGCTTCAGTGCCCGTGAAAGTAAATCTACCGCTTGTCTCATACTTGAATTTCTCAATCAATTTCATGCTTCAAAATAGAATACAGTTGGATGACTCTTAATCTTGAACTTCTTCCTTTGCCCCTCTTCAAATTTGAGCACTCACTAATCTCAGCTCACATTTATCATATCAAGCTCAAGAGATCAACTGACTTAGCCTTATGATATTTGTCTTCAGCCTCAGGTCTAGTGATGTATTCCATCTCTTATAAGTTAGTCTGGATTCTAAATGTTTAGTGTTTGTCCATTGGATATGTTTCCCTCAGTCTTGTGCCGATTGATGTCTCATTCTTGATCCCTTTTACTCATGATCTCCGTGAACATACTTTTGACTTTACTTTCATCTTTTGTTCGTCTCTCATCTCTGTCTTTCTTGTCTGGCATTACGTGATTCCACCCTTTCAGATGTCTATGTATGATGCCTCTCTTGATGAAAAACATGTAATCCCCTGGGCTTTGATACTGAATATTCAGTTCTTTGCCAGGTCATGCTCATAATCAATTTCCTAGTACCAATCATAGGCAGTGTGGATATCCAGAAAGACTGGAAAAGTGGCATATTGAAATCCATGTGGGTCAAATGTTTAGGCACTGCAAGTTAGAAACATAAGAGCTTTCCTCCAAAAAAAGGGTTGATTCTAAAGCTTGTTTCCCATTAGAAAGAGGCCAAACAAAAAAATGAAAAATGGTGGTATACAATTACATGGGATCGTATGAGCTGATTTTCTTCTTATTCAATCCTGAAGAAATCATATATGAGAGAGTCAAATACAAGAGGTATCCTTTTCCTTTTCTGTCAATCAGAGGGTTGAGAGTTTCCAACAGGGAAAATAAATGGGTTTTTTTTGTGGACCAAAGCTACTTGAAATAGCACCTCAAATTGAATTGATCTTGACCATGATCCTTCACGATCACGCCGACTTCAGTAGCAATAGCGTCGATCAAATGAGCCGGAGTGACGTCGAACGCGGGATTAAGGGCGACGGTGTTTTCGGGGGTAACGAGGACAGTAGCCACCTCAAGATCCTCCTTCGGCCCCTCCCCAATCACTTTCCCTCTCACTGAACAAGCCTCCAAACTTGATCGTTCTTCAATGTGGATCGCCTTGCCAGAGTCAATCTTTAAATCGATCGTCGTGCGCGGCGCCGCGATTACCACAGGGATATTCGGCTTCAGTTTGGGGTTGTTCCCATGTTTACAGATTAATGAAATCTGGTAGGTTGATATCTTGTTGGCGGTGTCTCCGTTGGAAGCAATCCTTTGATCAGTTTATTATTATTTTTTGTATTGTGGATCGCATGGATTTGAGGGGAAAGATCATGCTTAATCAGTAACAGAGTCATGAGAAGAGGGAAAGGAGGCACGAGACAGTTCGCAGGAAGCTTACCGGTCTGCACCCGCGATAAAAGCGTCAACCTTTCCGGATTGAATCAGCCATCCAACGGCGGAGTCACAGACCATGGAGCAAGGGATCGAAAGAGCTTGAAGCTCTAAACTGGTGAGTCTAGCGCCTTGTAGATAAGGAGTAGTTTGCATGAAGTAGGTGTGTTCTAATCGATCGAGCTCATGGAGAGCAGTGATAATTCCTAGGGCGGTTCCATATCCAGAAGTTGCTAGGGAGCCAGTATTGCAGACTGTCAAGACTGAGATCTTCTCCTTCGCTTTCAGAGCCTAAACTCTCGATCAACCAATCGGCTCCCAAGCGAC